AATTAGCTCTGCTGACCACTGTGTAACTCTTAGATGAGCCATGATTCTTTAAGTAAATGGAGGGGAGAAATCTTAAAGACATTTCTTTTAAAGCTGTTGAAATAACATTGCTTAGAAGTCAACCTAATGACTCTCCTTACCTTCCACTGTTTCAGGATAAAGAGAAAAACATTAGGTTTGTGGTATCCGCTGTGAAAACAGGACCAGACAATATGAAAACTATGTTCTCACGTTAAGACATTCTGTCGGATGAGACGTTCGAAGTGTTTCTCCAACTTTTGTGTGACCTGCAGAATTGGAGATGGCTTAGCCTCCCTAGAACTTCAAGTTTGTTTTACAAAGCTTTGAAAAGTAAAACAGATAATTTCATCTTCAGATAGAATAAAAAATTAATTTGAGTAGCAAAATAAGTAACTGCTTTTAAATGTACAGTAGTGTGTCCATTCTAAAAACAAAACCTAAACCTATGTTAGGAAAGCTTTTCAAATAATGCTTTTTATTGAATTCTCCAGTAGTAGTTGAAATAAAAATCTACTCTAACTTCTATAAAAAGATCTATTTATACCACTTAATTTCCTCTTCTCTGATTCTACATTTCACTTTGCAATCTGCAGACCTTCATTTGGTTTCCCAGATGGGGAACCCAGCCCCCTCATAAATACTTCTGAGAAGTTGCTCAGAGTGGGACACACAAAACCATGGCCACTCTGGTAAGTATTGCTGTCACTGTCTGACTATGTTTTAATACTGTTACTCCAATTCGTGTAACGAATCTTCCATGAGGATGGTAGGATGAACCTGGTTAGCTAACTTCTGATGAGGACTTCAGGGTGACTAGACCCTGGAAGAAAATGCGATCAACTTTAGGATAAAAAGGAGGAAAAAATTCCTTCACAGCTACAAATCTTCACAAGCCTTTCAACAGTCGTGGGGAAGGAACAAGCCGGGGAAGAGAGTAGGGGGGCAGGGAAGGTACACAGAAGCGCAGCCAAAGGGAATACAAAAATGCTTCTCCAGCCTTGTCAGAAGAACTTCCTGCCATGCCAGGAAGTGGATGCATCCATGCCCATTTTCCAGGAAAGGGCCCATCTTGCTGCTTTGCTACCCCAAATTTCCCAAGCATGAAGATGAGTTAGTAGGGGAAGCAGGACTATGGTTTCCATAATCTGGTCAGGTTAAGTGGTCCCACTGGCCTTCCCAGGGCACTCCCCACTCTCAATTCATGGAGAAGCCCCTCTCCCCTCCCCGGAAGCTCAGAGAACCCATTTTCTTTGCCTGGAATGGTGAGCTGGCAGTTAAGGGGTCTGCTTTCTGGCTTTGAAGAGAAAACACCCAAGAAGCTGCAGATGTTTCTAGGAACCATTCCATTTTAGGGCCCTATTAACCTGTCTCTCCTAAGGAAACTTCCTAATCTCCTATCCAGATTTGGTAAGTACCAAACTACGAAGGTTTTCTCTCATATTCCCCCTCTTCAGGTCTGTAAACAGACTTTCTGTTTATACCCACCATCACCCCCTTCACTACTCACTCCAAAACTCTGCTCTTTTGGAGTGATGTGTTCTGCCAAATAGATTAAGATAAAATACATTATCCGTCTACAGGGAATATACAGAATAACAACTGGGGCCAGAGGTACAAAACACGGATACAGACATTGTGGTCATACAAAATATACAGCATGAACAATTTTTGCCTTCTTTTTAGCATTTCCCCACTTTTTTTTTTTCCCTTCTTTTTCTTCTTCTGTGGATCCTCTGGGGTTAAGATCGAGCTTCCTCTGCAGTGTTTCTGAAAGTCATCACATGATTGGAACAGACTGATGGAATTCATTTTCTGTCCGAAGCAATGAGTGGTATACGTGAAAGTTTCCCTCACATACAATATTAATAAATTTATTTACAGCGTAAGCTTTCTGATGCTAAGGGCTGAGATGGCACGGAAGGCTTTGCCACACGAATCGCATTCATGAGGTTCCTTTCTGGAATGAATTCTCTGATGTATGTGAGATGTCAACTGTCACACACGTCAAACACGGCGAACTCTCTGTACAAATTTTGCACAGTCTCACTTTTATGCCTTTAATCGAATACTAAGGGTCTTACTAATCAGGATGCCTCAGAGGTCTATAGTCTCAGGCTGTCGCTTTGCCTGCCAGGCCGGAGCAGAAACAAATTCCCCGCAATCTGAAGAACTGCACCTCTCGTCCTGGCAAGGCTTCTTTCATAAGGTATATTCTGAAGAACCTTCAAAAACTTCCACTAGGTCAACGGGCATGCTAATGGTTAACTATGGAGTTCTTCAGCTGTGAACACACTGCAGCCGGTCACGCGCTTCTGAACGTCCCCGCGCTGAGGAGCCGAGGCGAGTCCGTCTGACCATGACCCAGTTACGCTTTGCACTGGGCAGCCGAGGAATGGACACGACGTGAATGGTTTTCATGAACAGCCGGAGCCTGGCTTCTCCAAAGAGCGCGTTTTCGGGCGGCTGCTTGAAGGGAGAGCGCCTGCCACAGACCCGAGGCAACCATGGGGACCACCCCGTGGCTGGCGCGGGACAGAAACGCGAGGCGCAGGCTGCGCTGAACTTTCTAAAACACAGCCGAGGGCTGCGTGAGGCCAGCGCGCGGCTGTGGCTCGAGAGAGGCCCACGTGGAAGCAGCCGGGGCTCCCTGCCTCTCCAGAACAGTCGGCGCTGTGCGCGGTACCCGGGGCCGAGGTGCCTCAGAGCTCTCGGGGCTTCCCGGGGGCGACTCTCGGCTGCAGAGCCGGCGGGGGCGAGCGAACCCTCCGCGGCGGCTCACTGGCCGCAGCACACCTTCAGAGCTCTTCCTCCGCCGCCGGACCTCGACGCTTCCACAGGCAATGCTGGCGGACCGGCTCCGGAGCTCCAGGCAGGTCGTGGTTGGTCCCAGTCACAGAGAGAGGCCAGAGACTTGCTGCTGCGCAGAATGTTAGTTTGGTCTGCAGCTGAGGCCCCAGCTGCCCCCACTCGCTGGCTCCCCATAAAGCCCGGCTGGCCACTGGCCTCGAGTGGTCGGTCAGTGAACAGCTGGTGGAGGGCGACAGTTTTCGTTGTTTCTTTAGGGATAAACTCAAACTCTACGTGGGGCGCTCTGGTTAGGGGCAGAATCTTCGGGTCTGCTCTTGGTCTGCTTCTAAGTTCCCGCGGGGTTGTCCACCATCATCTACACGCTCTCGAGAGCAGAGACCTCTCCACCCAAGGCCCTGAGGGCTGCCTACGTCACCCATGATTCCTGCCCTCCCCCCCGGTGTGTACCCGAAAACCGTCTGTCATTAGCTTCTAGGCGGCGGGTGGCTTCTTCCTGCTTTCACAGCCCCTCCCCCTATTCTCTGTCTTCAGGGATTAGAAACAGAGAAGACCCTATGCAGTCCAAGTGTGAGACGACCAACCACATCTCAGCTTGTCGCTTGTCCGTGAACTCAGAGCAATGAACACAGTAATTGCCAGCTAACGGCATCAAATACCTTTGCAAAGCTTCTGGAAAGTATGGGGGTGGAAAAACGCACTCCACACCTTTCCTTGTTCTGAAAAGCAATTAAAAAAAAAATCACATCTTTTGCACTGTATTATTGAGTTACAAAGGATTCAGAAAGTGCCTAAATGATCACGTTGTCCATCAGCTGACTGAAGAGAATTCTGGCTAAGATATTTTTGCCCCAGAAAGGAGTCAGGACACGGCCTTAGGAACACTTGCTATTTTTCTGAAGATGACGACAAGAGTCGTTTCTGACATTCCGTGGTACTTACTCACAGATCTCTGTGCAGAAGATTCTATGCAGGCAGCTAGCCAGTGGCTTTCTTTTATAGTCAGGACAAAAAGAGCGTCAGACCTTGGAGCTGTGGCATGCTTGCACTCCGAAGGTCGGCTTCACAAGTTGGGCCAGGCTACCCTACTTCAGGTACTCACGATTGACACAGGACTTCACCAGAAGCGTAGAAGTCCTGCTGGAACTTCTGAACTGAAGTGCCTCTTCCGTGTTCAGCACCGTGTCCAGTGCTGTCGGGATACAGAGCAATCCCCTGACGATCGAAGCATCTCTCTGGGGAGGGGGCGTGATGAAAACTCACATACACGAGAAAACGGAGAATTAAAAGACAGTCTATGATCGATCAAGCGCTAACTTGTGGAGAAATGCATTTCGGAATGCGACAGTGCTTTCGGGATTTCGAGAAGGGAGAGAAGGGTTCGTTGTTGCCGTTTCAGGAAGATTTATCTCAGCGATGAGGATAGAACCATCTACATTTGTTGCGATCCTTTGGAACTGTAGACTGGTGCACATACCCTCTTTCAGGAAGAGCTAGAAATCTTTGGTTTGACACCGATCAGCACAGTCCTAGATTTCTATAGCTTTGGCAGGCTACCAGTGATCATATATATAACTTATCATATATATAACTAGGTTGAGCAGCATGTCCCAATGCAGTTTATTTTAGCGATTCCTCTTTTTTTTTTTGAGAAATAAGGTACACCAAGATGTTGGCCAAGTAGGGCTTGTTTGCAGAAAGCAGCTTTAAAAACCCCAGTATGGCTTTCCTGGAGCCAATCTTAACCTTTCAATTCTATGTTGTGGTTGCTGAGTCCGAGAGCGCCTTAAAGGTATCCTCATTACTGAAAAGCTGGACGTTTGACTGTATGTGTGCTTTTATCTTGTGTGGAAAGAGTGTGTGGATTCTCCATAAGACTAGCTTTTCCCTGCAGGGATTGTGTGGGAGGATTACACACCCACCAGACGATGCAAAGGCGGAACACTGCTGATGGAACTACAAGGATCCTGAAGTGTGAGTTTTTTTCCTTTTAATCTGTTGAGGCCCTCTTTTTTTTCCCCTCCGTGGGCACACGTCTCTGAAGCAGTTTTAGAAACAAAAGGGGGAAATGGCTTGTTGACGAATTCTGGAACTCTCGCTCTACACACAGCTTTTCAGGAAGGCGCCAAACGCATCGAGGGAGGCGGGGCTGTACTCGGAGGCCCGCTCTCTGGTGTGGATCCTGTGATGCAGAGTGAGGGTCGAGCTCCGCGTGAAGGCCTTGCCGCACTTAGTGCACTTATAGGGCTTTTCTCGGGTGTGAATTCTCCGATGCAAAATAAGGTATGAATTTCGGTTGAAAGCTTTCCCACATTCACTACATTCATAGGGCTTCTCCCCCGTGTGGATCCTCTGATGTTTAGTCAGGTCTGAGCTCTGGCTGAAGGCCTTCCCACATTCGTTACATTCATAGGGTTTCTCTCCAGAGTGGATCCGCTGATGGAGAATGAGATTTGAACTGTGACTGAAGGCTTTGCCACACTCGTTACATTCATGAGGTTTCTCTCCTGTGTGGATTCTCTGATGCAGGACCAGGTTTGAGTTGAGGCTGAAGGCTTTCCCACACTCACTACATTCATAGGGCTTTTCTCCGGTATGGATTATTTTATGGCGAATAAGGCTTGAACTCCTGGTGAAGCATTTACCACATTCATCACATCTGTGGGACTTTGCTCCTGTTGGAGCTTCTTCAGGGGTGTTAAAGTTTGAACTCAGGCTGAAACTTCTTCCCAAACCTTTACCCTTCTCCCTTGGACCTCTCTCGCCCGCGGTGGATTTTTTTTCCTTGACCGTAGCTGGCCCCGAATCTTTTTTTTCTCTTCCAGTTTTTTCCTCAGGGTTTCTCTGCTGCCTTTCTACTGTTCTGCCCTGCTGTTCACGTTTTTCTCCAAAATCTTTCTGGAATCTTCCTGTTGTCTCCCCACGTGGCGCTGAGTCTTCTGCGATTTCAGCCTTTGAGGTTGACTCCTCATTCTCACTCCTGTTTTCACAACCTGACACAATAGAAAATACAAATGGCACCATTTTCTTTTGAATATGTGGGTTAATCAACCGACACTGTATTCCTGGAAGCTTCTACTTGCCTGCAAAATGACCTTGCAGTATTAATCGGAGATGAAATCGGAGAAAACCAGGGGAATGAATCAGGACAACAGGGAGCAGAGCTAGGGAAGGAGAGGGCGGATTGAATGGGAGGACAGCAGAGGGAGCTCGGGGAGAGGGTGGGAATGCACACATGGAAGGGGGGCGGGCGGGGGGGGGGGGGGAGACCAGAGGGAGCAGAACAAGTTAGGGAAGGGAGACGAAAAAAGTAACATAAGAGGTCACAATTCACAGTTGTAGGATTTGATCATCCAGTAATTAATATGAAGGAATATACATTAAAAAAAAAATCATGTTCTGTTTCTAACATTAAGTATGAGTTTGAACAAAGGGAATAGAGAGGTCCCTCGTAGAAACAGTAAGTGGTACTAGCCCACAAAGGAAGATATATACATAGTTAATAAAGGAAAAGTGAATACTCTGGTTCTGTGAGATTTTTAACAAGTCCACAGTGAGTGGACAGCACAGGAGCTCTGGCCTTGGCAAGTTACAGTAGTCTTCAGACACAGGAGTTTCTCTCCTCCAGCAAAAGAAGCACAGAGCTGCCAGCACTCCATTGTCAGAGATGAGGGTGAGGAAGCAGCTGATTGGGGCATCAGTAAACGTAACTAAAACCTTCACTGACAGACCAGGGAGAACACCCGAGAACAGAAAAGAAACTGAAAACAATTCTGGGTATGGCCCATGAAGGAGATGATGTAAAAAACCCAAATTTTACAAATGCAAAGCTGATCCTGTCATTAAACCAGCACATTAAAGCATTGAAATACATCTTTATTGCAGTCGGTTAGATTCAGTCTGTTGTTGTTTTTAAATTGAGAATGAAAATTGTCTAATGCACATGCACTACTTTATGGCTGTTCACATTTATCTAGGAAAAAACCCAAGTTACTACAATTCTTTGTTTAGCGGGCTTTAAGAGCCCTTTCCAGGTGGGCCTGCACTGCCCCACAGAGGTCCCTGAATGCAACCACGGGAAGCTGAGTAGTACCTATGCCCTGCTTTAGTGATGAAATCACTGGAAATACCGAACCAGTCATAAGAGGAGGAAATCGGTCCACTTCTTTTGAATTCCAAGCCAAAGTCCTTGGTTATTAGGATAATTCCCAGACTGTCTGCAACTAGTGTTTGCTTTTTGAAGTTATCACAGGGTAGGTAATACCTAGCTCAGAAACACCTATCAGTTCTTTGGCTTAATTTTCAGAATCTGGTCCAAAGAGCAAGTACCAAGAAACCACCACTCGGTTAGGTCTATGGTTCCAAATAAAACCTGAGGCTTCTTTAGTAACTTTCTTTCTTCAGTTCCCTTCGCTCACCCTCCCTCTGTCCTCCCGAGGCAGAAGTCTCACTATGGACATCCCATGACACAACTCATTTGAGAGCTGCTTTGCAGTACAATCTTCCGGGGACTGAGGGAAGGGGACAAACGGGAATGTGTGTCAATTGTGTCACCTTGTCTTATATGGTTGGTGCCTCTGAGAGCTTGTTTTTGTTCTTACTACACGTCCAGGAGCAGACTTCTCCGTAGAAGATCACCATTAGGTTTGGAAATGGGGAATCCTAATTGTAAGGGACAAGTCATGAGTTAACACAAAGCTGCCTGGGAGCAGTGCGCATGGGATGGAAGAAGACAGAAAGCCCATGGAAGGATGACTGTTAAGTCCAAGAATGCAGTCCTAGGTTAGGATTAGACTGATGATGATAAGGTCTCACTCGGACCTCTAGAATAGGAAATACAGAATCCATCCCCTTGACAGAGGCGCCTATACTACAACTGATGGGGACTGGAGAAGAATGGCTTGAGAGGTGAGAACTCAAAACTTAAGAGTATTTCTGATTTCGAACAGCAAAAACTACCTAAAAGTAAAAAATCCACTTGGAATCAGGGACTCACGATATCAGCCTCTGAGGGTTAAGCGAACACAAACGTGCTCCTGCTCTATCTAGCCTGAAGAAAAGGGCCTCAGTAGCCTCTCAATCCTTGTCAACTCTCAAGTGAACACATCAGAGATCCCACAACTAATGAAAAAAAGAAGATGTAAAACAATCTTTGACAATAATCCTGCATCAGTCTTACCCTGGGAAAACACGTTCCCATAATTCTCCTGCCTGTTGTCCCTATTGAGATTCCTCCGGGCCAGGTTCTGACATCCCCATTCCTCCAGGATGAGGGACACGGCCATGTCCTCGATCTTCACCATTGCCTGAAATAATACGAGATCCCCACACTCAGTTCTCTGAAAGCTCAGGGACAATCCCGTCACCCAAACTTGGGAGTCAGGGACAGAGTTGACTGCAAACCTACAGGATGCTGGGAAAGAAAAGGTGATCATGCCAGGTTCTGGTGGATGGGGAGGGCGGGACTGGGGCCACTCTGTGGGAAAGGGCATCAAGATGGTGTCCAGGGTGGAGGGAGCTAAAAGAGCTCCAGGAAGAGAGGCAGACACGAGGGTCTCAGGAAGGCAGAGGGGCCCACTGCTCACCTGGGAATCTGCTGTGAATAGTGCAGATGCCATCGCCTGGTCTCTGGGACTGCCCTCGTGATGAGGGGCAGGAACGTGGGTGGCAGGGAGAGCTGAGGGAGGAGAAAGGAGCTGTGAGTAAAACCAGCTCTGCTCTGGGCCTCCCCTCCAAGAAGGGCCCGGGGCCTCTCTTTCCTGCCCCAGCACATGTGATGTTCAGTGTCAACTACAGAATAGGTAACTACAGAGAAGCTAACGAAGACAAAGTATGACCTCTGCTATTCCAAGTCACAGGAGTCTTAAAAGGGTCCTTAAAATCACCTGGTCCAATCCCTTTTGTTTAAAGAGGGGGAAACCAAACACCTAGAAAGTCAATGACTTGCCTAATGTCACACAGCTAAGAGTAGCAGAGCCAGAATTACAACCCGGCTTCCTAGTCTTCCTTATCTACGGAAGTGGGTAACTTCCGGTCCATGATTCAAGTCTGGCTCACCATTTAATTTTCTCCAGTCCAAGGAACAGCACCAGAGCATCACAATCTCATTCAGTTGTGGAAAATATAACACGCGCATTAACGATCTTTAGTGGTGATATCTTGAAACACAGGGCACAAAGAGGGGGTCTTTTCTGGCCATTTTTGGTCCTCCTACTTTTCTCCCTCACTTAGCCACCGTTTCCTGACTTAACGTTCTGGAAGGTTCAAATGTCGATGAGACATTTGCTAGTTCGCAGAAATGTGGGTCGACACTGACCCAAGACAAGATGTCTATCAGACGATCACTGACTGACGATCGCACACAAACTGCCCTGTTTAAGAACAACTATACAGATTTTTAAACTGCAAAAATTAAAATCTTCCCTTGCCAAGCTGTATTAGATTTGGAAACGTTACTGGATAAACAAATGATGTTACTGAGCTGCAAAGACATAAGAGAAATGAATTTGAAACGGATTACTAAACGTTGTAACTATTTCAGACCATATAGTTATAAAACAAGCTAAAGCAAAATGTGCAGAAAGACCAAGTAGTTAGCATTTTTACCTTCTGAGAATTAGGAAAAAGATTCTGGAAGAATAGCCCTGAGAGGGACTTGAGGGTAAAGGCGTATGGCTGAATTCCCTGTAGAACTATTTACTAAGCATCAACGGTCCATGCCCGGGTTTCTAAAATTGCTACGCTGAGGACAGGAAGCTCTAATCTGGCACTGAAAGCTACCAATATCCTCTTCAATTTTCCGATTCCCTCCGTGTAGAGCATGGAAAGACCTCCCAAACCCTGTACAGGACACGAGCGGGACTGGATGGACAGTGGTGGATCAATCATCACAACGCACTGATTTACAGATTCCTCCAGAATGCAGAGAGGAGAATGTTTTCTGAAGTTCTAATATTCCCGCCTTAAATGTCATCACAAATGAACCCTGGTTGAGAAATGTGCCTCTATCAATGCTTCTTGAACAACGGGATTTTTAATATGTTCTTATTTTTACTGACAGTCTACATACCTACTTTGATTTCTAAATTAGTTAAGGATATTGTTAATATTTCCCTGAAAGGAAAAAAAATTTAAACTGATTTTTACGTATGACCTTGAAATGATTTTTCTCCTCATGTTCCTCAAAAACAAAATGTTTTTTCCATCCTTTTCTCACTGTTTAAAATTTCTGAAAGCTAGAAAAAGAGGCTATACTACATTTTTATACATTAAAATGTAGTTTTAAAAATGATCTTTTTCGGGGCGCCTGGGTGGCTCAGTGGGTTAAGCCTCTTGCCTTCGGCTCAGGTCATGATCCTGGGCTCCTGGGACCAAGTCCTGCATCGGTCTCTCTGCTCAGCAGGGAGCCTGCTTTCTCCTCTCTCTCTCTCTGCCTGCCTCTCTGCCTGTCTGTGATCTCTAACAAATAAATAAAATTAAAAATAAAATAAAATAAAAAATTATCCTTTTCAAGGTAACTTATGATCTTAACCAGTGTTTCAAAACCCAGGCTGGAAATATATTACCTCTTCCCAGCAATTTTGTGTTAAAAAAAAAAAAACAAAAAACTGCTGGACATTCAAAATGCTAACAACTCCAAGAACAATGTAATGTCCACCCAAGTTCATGACATACATTTCATTTACCTTCTCAGTAACATTATCTCCGGAGGTTGGTCTGTAAATTAGATTTTCCCCATATTTAGTAATACTGACAATAATGCATAATGATTAAAAAAAAAAAACCAGGTTTTTTTTTTGTTGTTTTTTTTTTTAAAAACTACAGGCCCTCAGCAACACAGTAAGGGCACCCCCACCCAGTTGGTTTTTTTCCCACATGAAACCTTTCTTCTTACCGCGTGACTGTAAGAGGCGAGGTTTCCGAGATGAATGCTTGAAATGGGACTGGGTGGCCTCATGATGAAGGTCAAAGCTCGAGGACTCCTGCACTGGATCCAGAGGCACCATCCCCCTTGCGAGCATCTCAGGTCCATGAACTTGACCTGGCACCTGAGGACAAACAGGGTGGGCTTGTGGGTAAATCACTTTTAAAAGAGGAATTTAAACAAACCAAAACCTGGTAAGCAGACCCATGGACGCAGGAGCAGGAGGCCGGCACACCTTTCAGCATCCAAGCAGAGCAGAAAGTCACCGCCACAAGGACGGCGAGTGCCAGCTTTCCACTGTAACTTGCTCTTTGCTCCAGGCTTAAAACCCAGGTGCTACTTACAGAGAATCGGTTTCACCTCTTCTTACCTGCTGTCCTGATAAATCAAGCTCCAAATCTTCCAGAAGGGTCACGGCCTCCTCCCCACTATCGGGACGGTATTCCTGCAGCCAGACTTGGAGCTCCTTCGGCAGGATGGAAAGGAACTGCTCCAGCACCAGCAGCTCCAGGATCTGCTCCTTGGTGTGGATCTCCGGCCGGAGCCACTGATGACAAAGTTCCTTCAGTCGACTCAGAGCCTCCCGAGGCCCAAAAGTGTTCTGGTAACAGAAGTGCCTGAACCGTTGGCGGAAAATCTCCGGGTCGGGAGGAGGCGTCTCCTGCAGGCTAGAATCCTGCCCCCACATGTGGTCTTCTTCATCTTCCTCTTCTACCTTCACTATCACGATCCCATCCTTCTCCTGGGCAGCCTGGGGGGACAGACCTGTGGCTTCCCTTGACTCTGCAGTCATCATTCAGGCTCAGGGGGTGGACTTGATCCAAATAGGGTCTGTGCTCTCCTTCCTGGCCTGGGAGATGTTTGCTGGTATGTTTCGGTGCCGTTCCTGATACAGTAAACAAAATTATTAGTACTTTTATGAAAAGTGACCTGTGTTAGCACTTCACACAGAGCTGGACATCGAGGCACTGCAAACACCTCTGAAAAGCAAAAGAGAAAGCCTCCAGAGGTGCACTGTTTCACTGTCACTTTATATATTAAGGTTTGCAGAGGGGTTCCTGGCTGCCTTGGTCGGGAGAGCAAGTGACACTCTTGATCTTGGGGCTCAGAGTTTGAGCTCCATACTGGCTGTAGGATTACTTAAAAATAAAATCTTAAAAGGGGTGCCTGGGAGGCTCAGTCAGTTAAGCGCCTGATTAGGCTTAGGTCATGATCTCAGGGTCTTGGGATCGAGCTCCGTGTTGGGCTCCCAGCTCAGCAGGGAGTCTGCTTGGCTCTCTCCCTCTGCCCCTCCCCCTGCTTGTGCTGTCTCCATCTCTCTCAGGTAAAGAAAATGATTTTAAAAGATTTTATTTATTTATTTGAAACACAGAGAGAGAGAGATCACAAGTAGGCAGAGCAGCAGGCAGAGAGACAGGGGGAAGCAGGCTTCCTGCTAAGCAGAGAGCCCAATGTGGGGCTCGATCCCAGGACCCTGAGATCATGACCCAAGCCGAAGGCAGAGGCTTACTTACCCCAATGAGCCACCCAGGTGCCCCTCAGGTAAAGAAAATCTTTAAAAAAGGAAAAAAAAAAAAGGTTTGCAAAGAGAAACCTCCACTAGGCCAATTCCAGCCTCGGGACTCTGCATGAGTCCAAACACCTAACCTCCCGGGGGACAGCAGATTATGAGACCAGACACTTAAGCACTCAGCCCGGTGAGAGAAGAGCCTTAGCGGGCACCAGGCTTCAAGCAGTCCTCGCATCATCTTATTTCCTCCCCCAGCAGCCCTAGCAAGGAGGCACAACCACTAGTGCCATTTTACAGATGGTGTGTTGTGACTGCCATCAACACCCTCCCTTGGTTCAATGCTGACCTGTCCCATGTCACTGAGTGCATCCCAAGGAAAAAGTGGGAGCCTCCCTCCCCCACAGAGAGCTGCCAAAGTGCCCTCGTTTCACATGCTCACTTTTAGGTACTGTGGTATTTCCCAGTTTATCTGAGACCAGTTATGTGGAATAACAGATTACTTTATCTACGTTGAATGAATCCTGCTTTCATAAAAGAGAAGAACGGGGGCTGGGCAAACTGGGTGAAGGGGGTCAAATGATAGACTTCCGGGTCTCAAATAAATGAGCCACAGGAATATAATACACACAGTGGTGACCAGAGTTAATAATACTGTGTCGTGTTATATGAAAGTTGCTAAGTGATCTTAAAATTTCTCATCACAAGAAAAAACACTCTGGGTGCCTGGGTGGCTCAGTTGGTTTAGCGTTTGCCTTCAGGTCAGGTCATGATCGTAGAGTTCCAGAATTGAGTCCCACATCGGGCTCCCTGCTCTGCAGGGAGTCTGCTTTTCCCTCTCCCTCTGCTGATCCCTCTGCTGTGCTCTCTCTCTCAAATAAATAAGGAAAATCTTTAAAAAAAAATCTTAATGTTAAAAAAAAGCAAAAAAAATCTGAAATTTGGTGATAGATATTAACTAGATTTACTGTGATCATTCTGCCCAAATATCAAATCATTACTTTGTATACCTGCAACTCACATATTGTTATATGTCAATTACAGCTCAAAAGAAAAGAAAAAAGACAAGCAGCCTAAAGACTCTGGCAGAGAAACTATAATTTGAGGAAATGCTAATGGTGCAAATACACGTGAAGAAACAAATTGCACAGATGAAGCTTCTATCTACAGAAAGGTCTTATTCACCCAAGATTAGGAAGTAAAAACCAATGTCAATCTAAAATCAAACAAGATGTCAACCAATAAGTAACAAAGTAGCTGCTTTAAAGAGGGGAAAAAAATGTTACAAAAGACTATTATGGGGCACTTGGGTGGCTTGGTTGGTTAAGCAAATGCCTTTGGGTCAGGTCATGATCCCAAGGGTCCTGGGATCGAGTCCCACATCTGGCTCCTTGCTCAGCGGGGACCCTGCTTCTTCCTTTCTCTCTACCTACTACTCCACCTGCTTGTGCTCTCTCTGTCAAATAAATAAAAAAAGAAAAAAAAAAGACTATTATGGTAACAGTCCTATGCTGGGAAAGTCTCCACTGTTATGTAATTTTAACTGCCAAAAATGATACTCAGTATCCCGGAAAAACTTCATCATCTATACATTTGAAAAACAAGTAAATATTTTCTACTGTTTAAAATCTTCCAAATGAAGAATTTTATGAATCTTAAAAATCTGTTTTTTTAAAAACACGAAACACCTTTTGATTTTTTTTTTTTTTTTTTTTTTTTTTTTTTAAGTAGGCTCTATGCCCAATGTGGGGCTTGAATGATCTACAAGAGCATGCCCTACTGACTGAGCCAGCCGGGCATCCACCCTTTGATGAGTTTTTAAAAACAGGTGATTTAGAGGTATGGGAAATGGAGATGTACTAGCTGAATTTCAACAACCAAAATTTAGCACAGTGGATAGGACCAGTCATGAGTTACTAAGTGGAGCTGACAATATGTTTCTTCCACCTGAATTGACAAATCTTTCAGTGAGGTTTTCTTTTTCAATTCAACAGCACCAAATTCAAGCTTTAGAGACAGAGCATCCAACTGCTGTACCATCCAAAGCCAGAAATTTTATTTATTTATATTTTTGAGATTTTATTTATTCGAGAGGGACAACACAAGTGGTGGGGAGGGGCAGAGGGAGAAGCAGACTCCCCGCTGAGCAGGGAGCCAGACACAGGGCTCCATCCCAGGGCCCTGAGATCATGACCTGAGCCGAAGGCAGACACTTAACCAAGGGAGCCACCCAGGTGCCCCTCAAGTCAGGAATTTTAAACTAGCAAGGAAATTTTAATTACATGGCTCTCATGAAAAAGATTATTAATAATTTTGATGGAAAAGGAATCTCGTGCATTTAAAGCACAAAAATTATTTTTCAATAGCACAGTTTAATGTATTTTTTTTTTGGTTTTATTATACAAAATGCTGGGAATAAGAGTGCATGTATACAATTTTTAAAGTAATTTTTACAGATAGGAGTGTGTGTCCAAAAACAGATTTGGAGATGACTTTTTTTTTTTTTAAAGATTTTATTTATTTGACAGAGAGAGAGATGACAAGTAGGCAGAGAGGCAGTCAGAGAGAGAGGAGGAAGCAGGCTCCCTGCTGAGCAGAGAGCCCGATGCGGGCCTCGATCCCAGGACCCTGGGACCAGGACCCGAGCTGAAGGCAGAGGCTTTAACCCACTGAGCCACCCAAGCGCCCGAGATGACTGTTTTTTGTTTCATTTTGTTGTGAGCGGTGCTTCATGAATTTGCATGGCATCCCTGTGAGGAGGCCATGCTCATCTTCTCTGTATCATTCCAGATCTAGTGTACGTGACGCCGAAGTGAGCACTGGAGAGGACTGTTTCAGTGGCAAAAACTATGACTTTAATCTGAGATTTACCACATAGATTAGTTTTTCTATCTTAACTTTTTTGCCCTTAAAAAAAATTAAAGTCCTTATTAAAGTAGCAGACTATGAGGATGATAAAAAACACTACCTCCAAAAAGGCTTTCTATATAAACTGAGAGAATGTGGGGATTCAGTCCTTTTCTCCCCATGATTTTTAAGCTGGTAAAGTCCAGGGCAAACCATCCTCCAGCCCTGCCCACTGATTTCCTTCAGACCAGTTCTGCACCCACAGTCCTTGCTGCAGTAAACAGATGTTTTTCAACTTCAGAGTGGCTTTTGTAAAAAGTCCTTCCAGCTACAATCATTCAAATTCCTAAACATCTCCAGATCTACAGTAGGCAGAGTGTCCTCCTAGACTGCGGGGAACACAGAGATGACTCCTATTTTTACATAAATAATTATAGTACAAAGCAGAACGTGCCAACCGTTCTAAGGAGGTTTCAACATCAGCACTAGAGGAGCCAGGGAAATAACTCATGTGTCAACAAGGTAGCTTCTAGCAAGAGGCACCCTGGAGCTGGGGCATCAGAATGGCCAAGACCTCCCTGGGAACGCTTCCTCCACCGGAAGAGGCAGTGAGTGGGCAGGCCGAGAGATCACTCCTAGCTTCTTCTCAACTAGAGACTAAATAATTAATTCCTATGAGCCTTAGTTTCTCTAATTTCATTCTGCAAAGTCAAAAGAAAGACTACCTTTTCCTGCTACGCCTCCCATGATTACTTTCCACCACCCTAATTCAGACTCCCCATCTCCCGTCTAGACTGGTGACAGGGTCCCCCGGTTTCCCAGCTGCAATCTCTCCCCAGTCCAACACGAACAACAAACCGAGGTTGGTGCAGTATTGTCAAAGAATGCTTCTGGTCATTCCCTCCTTCCCCTCAATTAGTCAGTGAATCCTTCGTATCTACCAAGTTCATGTTCAAAGAACATACCCCTAGTCTACTTTTCCAGTCTGATCTCCCACTACTTTTCCTAGCAGTGACCCCCCCTACACACATACACACACACATACACACACACACACACACACACATTTCAGCCCATCTGGCCATTTATGTTCCCTACGCACAAGGTGTGATGTTCCCTCTTCAAGCCTCTGCTATGCACAATTTCCCACCATAACAACTTTGTTGGTCCAATTTGTACTTACTCTTCAAAATACAGAATCTCTCCTGATATTCCAGATTAAATAAGATACCTTCCTCTTTTGAACACCCTCGATCTTTCTTTCTTCTTATTTATGCCACGTATATTCTCCTCATATTATCTGGGCTACAGTTTCTATCACCTCCCAACTAAATTCTAAGCCCCTCAAAGGCAGAACGTCTTCTTTGTACTTAACTGTTAGAGGACCTGGCAGTTTAATTCCAGAAACAAGAAGTACTCAAAATATCATCTCTCCCCCTGCCACTTATTTCCCGTTAGTGGCAATTAGTGATCAGATATTCTACTAATACCTTAGTCACTAAAACCCAGGATCTCACCTTCCTGGACTCCTCTCCTTGCATGGATTCAAGAACTGAATTCCTTGCTTGGTCTCCAAGCACCGGGGAGAATGATGGATATCCATCAGGTCCCCCTTCTCTTTGCTTTCCCGCCTTCCCTCCCCTTCCCACTACTACATGCCCTACCTTACTCTCAGATTATTTTTACCAAAACCCGATGGCCTTCCAGGCACCACCCCACAGTACCTGGTCCTCGTTTCCCCTCACAATTCACGGTCCATCATCGATTTCTTCCCCTCTCCCGTGTGAGCCTTTTCTAACCACAAAATGAGTATCTTCTAATGAGGCCTTGGATTCTGATTGCCATCCATTTCTCACAGCACAGTCAGTGTCTGGAATTTCCTCTCCCAGTCTCCTCTGCCTTTTCAAATCCTCCTCATTCTTCAGAGCTTAGCTGAAATGCCACTCCCCCCACATCGTTGTTCAATTCAAGAACATTCGCTCAGAGGCATAACAGTAGGGGTGGGTGTTCACGGAGTGCTGTCCGTGGACCAGATATGAAGTTTTGCACGTAACAGTCTCAGCAGACAGTAGCTACAATTATCACCTCACTTTACACTGCCAAAACTAAAGTTTACTGACGTTAAAGAACACACCCAAGGTCATACAGCAATTAAAGGGTAGAGCCAGGATTTGAAATTCCGTCTGTGTACCCCTCAGTTCAAGCTCTAACCATCATACCAAGCTCATTCTGTCCCAACACGTGTGGTAAGCAAGAGCTACTATGTACACACAGATTCTTTTCAAAAGGGGGGCTGATGAAGGTGCCTGTGAAGGATGATGACCCAGAACAGGCCTCATCTGTCGCCCGCTGTTTTTACCAGAGAGCAGTGTGGCTAAGGAGACACAGCAGGAGATGAGAGTAGGAATCATGTCAAATCTAATGGGTGGCGGGGGGGACCATCCAACAGGGTAACTGAGCAGGACAGGTGCGGAAACTAGCCTAGCATCACAAAACTCTATTCTTATGAAAATTTTATCCTTTCTCAGCTATACTAAGGAGGAAAAAGGAAAGAAATCTTGATCTGTGTCGCACGTAGACCAGAGCTTTAAAGAGTGGGATATTTTGGGGGGCAGTTGGCTGGTTCAGTCGGTGGAGTGCGCAACTCTTGATATCAGGATTGTGAGTTCAACCCCCATGACAGGTGCAGAGCTCGCTTGGGGGGGGGGGTGTAAAAAAAAAAAAAGAGTGGGTTACTTCTTGAGTCAGTGGGACTCAAAAGGAAGAGACTGAAGAGGAAGTGAGACCCAAAGGGACAGAGATGAGGGCGCGGGCACATTCCCTCTTCCCCCAGTTGGCAGGTCCTCTTCCCCAACTCTGGACATTTCTGCTCCTGCTCTGGAGAAGAAAAAGTCCCAATGGCAGTTGAAGGGCTGGGTTTTATTTTAGGTTTCTCAGATAATCTCAGCAAACAATCTTTTCTCCTCTCTCTAAACTTCTGGCCCAAATGCGCTCTGCCAACCATCTGCCATGGAAAGTTCTTATCTTTCTCTGTAATTTAAATTTTCATGCTCCTTCCTCAAGTGGACTAGTGCTAGGGGTATGCTTCTTTGTTTCCTTACTAAAGTAAGCTCTACTCTATGCCCAAAGTGGGGCTCGAACCCACCAACCTGAGAAGAGTCACCCGCTCCACCAACTGAGCCAGCCAGACTCCCTAGGCCAAGCTTCTTTGTACCGCTTGGACCACTTAGTACCATTTCTTGCGAACATTAGTTTTTAAGAATTAATTGACTGAATTTGTGGTGTTACCATTTTTGTGCCCACGCCTTCAGCACTCGATACTTCCCTCAAATTTTAGCCCCAGGGGCTACCTGGAAGAGATTCAATAAGCTGAACCACCACTTACCAGCCGATAATTTTAGGCAGGTTAATCTCTCTCTGCATTTGTGCAATGGGGATAAAAAACGTTACTCTCCTCACAGGGTTGTGCGGATTACATGAGTTAACAGATATAAAGCACTTGTTTTTTTTTAAAGATTTTATTTGACAGAGAGAGATCGTAAGTAGGCAGAGAGGCAGGCAGAGAGAGAGGGGGAAGCAGGCACCTTGCCGAGCAGAGAGCCCTATGCGGGGCTCGATTCCAGGACCCTGAGATCATGACCTGAGCTGAAGGCAGAGGCTTTAACCCACTGAGCCACCCATGTGCTCTGATATAAAGCACTTAAAACAGGGTCCAGCATTTGGTAGGCAAGAAAGAGGTGCTTTAATTTTTTTCAATAAACAGTAGAGAGATAACTGTGCTTTACAATTCTCAGCCCGCTTAAAAGACTAAGCAACAGGAGAATTCCTGTAATACTGAAAGCAGCACAGGTTGGAATACCTACATTCTGGTCTCCCAAAATAAGTTACACACCCCCGAGTGAGTTATTTAACCTCTCTGGCACTTAGTATCCTTATCTGTCACAAGGGGGAGGGGAGCAGAAAACTACCTCTGGGATCCCTCGGAGCTGAAAAACATTCTGACACCCTATCCGATTTAGATAAGATTACCCCCAGCAACTGGTTTTCACTGAGGATGAATATCAACAATTTTCTTACAAAAAGGGCTTGGAGTTACAAGCTCAGTTTATTTCAAAGGCTGTCTTCTAAACAGGCCAGTCTTTTCCAGGGCACAGTCTTGAAAGTTTAAACAAACTGCATCCCACCCCATCTCGATTTTTGAACAGAGCTTTTAAAAAAAAAATCTAAGATTTTATGTATTTGAGAGAGAATGCGAGAGAACACAAGCAAGGGGAGCAGCAGAGGGAGAAGCAGGCACCCCACTGAGCAGGGAGCCCAACCGGGGTCTCGATGCCAGGACCCTGGGATCATGACCTGAGCTGAAGGGCTGAAGGCAGACACTTAACCGACTGAGACACCCAGGCGTCCCCCAATTTTTTTTTTTTAATATGAAAAAGCTCCCTTTAAAAGACAGCCACCTACCCAAAGAATACTGAGTACCTCAGAATGACAAGGTAAAATTTAACATAACCACTCACCTGTATTTAGATGCAATATAAAGGCAGAAAAAATTTAAATGTTTAGATCAAGTAGAGAATCAGTAAAAGACTACGTATATTAAGTAGCTATTTTCCTTGTTTATACATTAACACTTTTGAAAACGGCCTGAAATAACTAACGGGCATCTTGCACAATAATTCAGAGACAACACAAACTCGGAGATATATTCTGGGGCAAATTATCATTCTGGTTCCCTATGTAATGTAAGCTATTTCTCCACATTTGGCCTGCATATATACCAACAGTACCTCGTTGATCTGGTTACAATGAATTCTTCACAATTCCATTCAACAAGTATTTACTGACCACCTCCAATCTGCCTTGCACTGGCTTGTACAATAAATGCTTTCTTTGGTCCCAGGCCATGTAACAGCCACTCTCTATAATGAAAGTATCTTATTGTGTGCCAGAGGCACTGCAGGAAAGGGAGGGGAGGGGCGCCGTGTCGGGCTAAACTGTGGCTGAATTTTTCAGTTACACTGACCAAATACTTTCAAAGCTGGAAGGGCCTTTGAGAAAATCAAGTTCATTTTATTCAAAGATGACAAAACTGAGAGCTGGAGAAGAGTACTATATCATCCAAGGTCACTCAGGCCATCAGTCTCCTAGTGGCCTGGTGCAATTTCCACAAACTCCCTTCACTCTTCACCCGCTCCAAGACAAGCAGTGAGTAATCCAGAACCAGGGAAAAGAAAAATCCACCTAATCTTCCGGACAGATCATTTTTAAAGGTCTTCGAAATATTCCACAGGGCATAAAGCGAGTGGGATGTATAAAATCCAAATCACGTCTTTATCCACTCTAAGCTTCAAATACTCTTTTAATAACCGCTTGGGGGTGGGGGTGGGGTGAGAAGCAGGTGATTTGGAAACACATAAGCGGCACCTCGAAACGTGTCCATTGCTCAGCCTTCCGCATGTTTCATCTAGAGGTCCTGAAGGACCCCGAAAAAAGAAAAACAACAACAAAAAACTCCCCAAACCCTCTCACTGGAATGAAAGCAAATGGCGACGGAGGGAGGGCAGTAATATCAGACAGGGGTCGGCTCGCTCGCGAATCCGGTTCTCAGAAACGTCAAGTGACAAGGATGACACTGCGGGCGAGGGGCCCGGAAGGGGCCCGCAGACGGCTTCTCCCCAGGTCTCCGTGCACCCCCGGCCACTAGACCCTCGCCCCCTCCCCGCCTGGGCCCGGGGGGCGGGTTGGGACGTCTCCCGGGGGACGGCGCTTCCAACCGCCGGGTCTGGGGACGGACAGGGGCTTGGGCTCTCTCCACATTCCGCCCGAGCCTCCTGGAGGGGACCCCGAGGCCGCAGCTGCAGAGCCCACCCTCACGCACACACCCTGCGGCGCCGCCCGCCCTCCCCAGAGGCCGGCCCCAAGTCTCACCGTGAGCCCCGGGAGCGGCCTGGGGACGCTGGGCGAGAAAGGGGAGCTGACTCTGGGGCTCAGGCCGGCCGAAGTGCGCTGCACACGGACCTAGGCCCTCCCGACGCCTCGACACAGACACAATGACTCACAAAGGCCGGAAGTGTGTCAGCACCTCGCCTTCCGGGACTGCGCTGCACTTCCGGGTTCTCTCTAGGAGCGCGGGAGGATTTTGCGTCTCGGTTGCCGAATCGCTGGACCCGGCTCCCGGCCTCGGGGCTCGGCTCAAGCTTCCAGCGGTGAGGCTCCCCAGCCCGGCTTGTGCGCCGGGAGTTAACGCGGGGGACCGACGCGAGGCGGGGTTCAGAAGTCCCACAGACAACCAGGCTGCCCGGCTCACACAGCAGTCCATATGATAATTCGATTTCTCCTGTACTTTCCATCCAGTAATTATAGCTATTATCAAGCAATAATAATTCTTAGTAATTGCATGCCTGTGGCAGAGCCGCTGAAGCAAGGGTGTGTCAACAGAAGACGAGCAAAATGAAGCCGGGGTGGCTGGTTCCAGAAAACTGCGCCGCTAGCTTCTCTCTGGACCCGGAGACGTCGGCCAATGGAGTGCGTGGTGTTTTCAAATATTTTGGCCTGTGTACATAGGATGTATTTCCACAATCAACATATATATATATATATATATATATATATATATATATATATATATATAGCACGTGTTTTGTCCATGTGGCATATGCTACTACAGCAGTTTGAAAGGAGCTTTCTCTGAAAACTTTTGCCCTCCGGGTGCTTTCACAACCTGCAACAACCATGGCTTTCACTTTTACCTGAGAAACTCAACCTTGCTCCACTTTCTGTGCTGCAAGGCTGACCAGGCTTTAACGGCTGTGAATTTGCTCTATGTTCCAAGTCAAATTCAGGAGAGGGACTGAACTTAGTAGTGGATGCATGACTCCTGTTGCTTGGGAGGGATCACTTGGGGGGGGGGGGTGGAGAAAGGTTTGAAAACTAAAAAGCAATTACAGGGGGCACCTGGGTGGCTTAGTAGGTTAAAGCCTCTGTCTTCAGCTCCCGTGGTGGTCTCAGGGTCCTAGGATGGAGCCCCACATCAGGCTCTCTGCTCAGCAGGGAGCCTGCTTCTCGCCCCCTCTCTCTGCCTGCCTCTCTGCTTACTTGTGATCTCTGTCTGTCAAATAAATAAATACAATCTTTGTTTTTAAAAAAAGCAATTACAGTATAATTAAATGAAAATCTCAAAGTGGAGAAACAAACTCACTCCTAATCCCTTCCCTGTCACCACTTACCCCTCTTCCCTCTGCTTTCAGATATATGTCATATCTTTTTATTTATATTATTATTTTTAAAAGATTTTATTTATTTATTTGACATGAGAGAGAGAACAAGGAGGGGGGAAAGCAGAGGGAGAGAGACAGGCAGGCTTCCCCACCAACCGAGGTGCCTAATGCCAGGCTGGATCCTAGAACCCTGGGATCAGGACCAGAGCTGAAGGCAGACGCATAACTCATTGAGCCACCCAGGCGCCCCATGTTTGGGGCTTTTTAATAACCTCTCTCTAAGCTTTCAGTTTTTTAATCTGTAAAACGATGGTAGTTAATAACTGATAATTACAATATTTAATAATTATTGATAATAACCGGTGGCTGATAATGGTGATGCTAACCTCACAATGTCTCTGTGTGAGTTCAATGACTGAAAGTATATAAAGGTCACAGCAAAGCACTTGGCACACGGTGAACACTCAATGTTACTTACCACGATTATTGTTATTTGTATCATAATCTAGACCAGAAGAGGAAATCACAGCATTGACATCAGGGTGGGGGTAAAGAGACAATAACCAAAGAAGACCCTGTGGTGGTGGAGTTACGGGAAAAGCAAAACATCTGTGCCCATGATCATTAAAGACATCCTGGATTAGTTCCTAAGGATAGATTCTAAGAAATGAGATTGCTGGTCCCACACGTAGTCAGAGAGTCTACATGAAATCGTGCTGGTGACCCCAAGGTTCTACACCTACTGGCGAACAGCCCTGCTCGTGAGATCAGGTGACATCTGCGTAAGAGTTTCGAAAGAACTCGAAGTACTACTAAATGTAATGATTTACTATTACAAAGAAACAATGTACTTTAGGCCTGGCAGGTTGCCCAGAACAAGTAAAAGTTTCGGAAGGGCACTCCACAAACTGTTGGCTCTTGCTTGGGAAAACTGGTGGGGTTAATTCTGAAGGGACGCATCCCCAAGCACGCTGCTGATACCAGGTGCTAGGGCTCTTGGGGGTGTTTTCTCAAGTATCGAGTGATTTCCTGTTGTGAGCTTCTCAGGGTTTTCCCTGTGGGAGCCAGGTGGGTGCTGGGTCTAGAGTGAGAATCTGTTTGATTCAGTCTTGTACCCAGAAACATGAATACACTGGGGTCACTATAAGCTAAATTTAGCTAGAGGGCTGGCTCACTGATTGAGCATGCAGCTCTTGATCTCAGGGTTCTGAGTTCGGGTCCCATGCTGGGTGTGTCGATTAGTTAAAAATAAACTCTTTTTAAAAAATATTTTATTGGGGGACGCCTGGGTGGCTCAGTGGCTTAAAGCCTCTGCCTTTGGCTCAGGTCATGATCTCAGGGTCCTGGGATCGAGCCCCGCATCGGGCTCTCTGCTCAGCGGGGAGCCTGCTTCCTTTCCCCTCTCTCTGCCTGCCTCTCTGCCTACTTGTGAGCTCTGTCTGTCAAATCAATGAATAAAATTTTTAAAAATATATTTTATTGGGATGCCTGGATGGCTCAATCATTGGGTGTCTGCCTTCGGCTCAGGTCATGATCTCAGGGTCCTGGGATCAAGCCCCACATTGGGCTCCCTGCTCGGCAGGCAGTCTGCTTCTCCTTCTCCCACTCCCCCTGCTTCTCTTCCCTCTCTCCCTGTGTCTCTGTCAAAATGAATAAATAACTTTTAAAAATGTATTTTATTTATTTGAGAGAGAGTACGAGCTGGAGAGAGGCAGAGGGAGAGGGAGAAGTATGACCTGATTTCCCGATGAGCATGAAGCCCGACATGGGGCTCCATCCCAGAACCCTGAGATCATGACCAGAGCTGAAGTCAGATGCTTAACAGATTTTAGATGCCCCTAAAAATAAAATCTTTTAAAAATTTTACTTAGAGATCTTCTTGGTCACTCAGTGTGATTTCAGGCACCAAACCGTTGTCAGGGTGGCCTTGTGCTTAGGAATTTTCCAAGACCCAAAATAGCAACATATTCCCATGGTCTTCTCTGGTGTGGGTTTTACTTTTATTCACCTTTTGTGTGTTGTCCTTGGAGATTCCTAGCTTTAGGCAGAAGACTCAATCCCTGGCTTTGTCTCCCATCCCCCTTACATGTGGCCTGTTAAAACCCATATTCTGGGTGCCAGAGAAGAGCAGACACTCTAGGGAAAAGTCTCTCTGAGGATGTGCTTATCCCTCTGGATCACGGCTTTCTTGTCATTTCTGGTCTCCAAGGAATTCCCTTACTTTCCCATCAGCTCATTCATGAGTGAGTAGAAGATGGTTTTTGCATGGAACCCATCATTGCTCAGTGCGCTATATGGGGAGGGTTTCTCTGCTCATCTTGGCTGCCATATGGCCAGAAGTGGAAGTCTAGGAGGATATATATTTAAGACCTGCGAGTCTGAAAAATTATAGATGGCGTGGCTGGATTAAAACAGGCTTGATCATTATCTTAGAACACTAGAATGAAAAAGCTCAAGCAGAGTACAAAGGACAAATACCAGGAGACCAACCATAATAGATTCTTAAACACAGGAAACAAACTGAAGGTTGCTGGAGGGGAGAAGGGTGGCGGGACGGGCTAACTGGGTGATGGACATTAAGGAGGGCACGTGATGTCATGAGCACTGGGTGTTATATAAGACTGATGAATGACCTCTACCTCTGAAACCAGTAATACATTATATATTAATTCACTGACTTAAACAAAAAAGCAAAACAACACAAAAAACAAAGGACAAATACCTAGAGATACTACTTTATAGGGAAGATAGTGTGTTTATGGATCTTATTCTGGGGGGACAAGCCCTCCATGAGTGCTTGCTGATTGGACGGAAGCCAGGAAAGGGCAGAGTTGGACGGAATTTTTAGTTGGTTGGATTACCAGACCCAAATCATATTAACAAACTCACAGCAACTTTGAATGTACTCTCCAGAGCCAGCTATTACTGGGTTCTCTCCCATTTCCTGTTCAACAGGATCCTTTTATATGTACTTATGCAAACTGTTTCCTGTTTTATCAACGTTATATATGGGAATGTTGGTGACAGAAAGTTAGATTTGTACATGACCCTAAGCCAACAGCGTTAACTTGGACGTCGAAGGAGGAAAAGCAACCCTTGTCCCGATACCCATGCCCCAAACAAGGAATGGGTGAGTTAAAATGTAATAGGGCCAAATGTTCTGCATGCAGATGGAAAAGTCTACAACACATCCTGTAGCCACCATCCATGATGGAACATCAATCTGGAAAAAATAAGTAGGAAAGGACTGGATGTGGAAGATGGAGCTTTTGACAGCCATAGTGGTGAGCAAGGCCCAGGGCTCCTCATGGGCTGTGAACTCCGAGTGAGCCAAGAGTGTAGTTCAATAGCAGTTGGACAAGTCTTGGCCATGGACAGCAGCACACAGTCCAAACATGAAGCAAGAGGCATGGCTTCCTCTGCAAAGACTAGGACACCTGGGCACAGGGCTTTGCCTTCCAGGCACCTGGACAAGCCAGAGTGCAGGGAGAAGGAGATTAGCAACACAGGGAAGGAGCCTTGGAAGCTTGTCCTCTAGGGTTCTGCAAGAGCGAGGTTGGCTTCGATTGAAGTGAGAGCCCGGGAGGGAGACGGCATTAGTTGGCTGGGGCTGCCATAACCAGGTACCACCACTAAGCAGCCTCAGCAATGGATACGTATCATCTTAGGTCTGGAGGCTAGAAATCCAAAATCAAGGTGTCAGCAGGCCTGGTTCATTCTGAGGCCTCTTTCCTTGCCTTGTAGATGGCTTTCTTCTCTTTCCTGTCCATGTGCCTTCACGTGGCCTTCCTGCTGTGAGTCTGTATCCCTTCTTTTTTTTTTTTTAAGATTTTATCCATTTGACAGACAGAGATC